TATGCTATGCTATGCTATGCAATCTGTAAGCATATGCCGTCCGCAAGCATATGTGGTCTGCAAGCATATGCAGTCTGCAAGCATATGCAGTCTGCAAGCATATGCAATCTGCAAGCATATGCCGTCTGCAGGCATATGCAGTCTGCAAGCATATGCAATCTGTATGCTTTGCTGCGCTGCACTATGCTATGCTATGCTATGCTATGCAATCTGCAAGCATATGCCGTCTGCAAGCATATGCAGTCTGCAAGCATATGCAATCTGCAAGCATATGCAGTCTGCAGGCATATGCAGTCTGCAAGCATATGCAATCTGCAAGCATATGCAATCTGCAAGCATATGCCGTCTGCAAGCATATGCCGTTTGCAAGCATATGCAGTCTGCAAGCATATGCAGTCCGCAAGCTTATGCAGTCTGCAAGCATATTCAGTCTGCAAGCTTATGTAGTCCGCAAGCATATGCCGTCCGCAAGCATATGCAATCTGCAAGCATATGCCGTCTGCAAGCATATGCAGTCTGCAAGCATATGCAGTCCGCAAGCTTATGCAGTCTGCAAGCATATTCAGTCTTCAAGCTTATGCAGTCCGCAAGCAGATGCAGTCCACAAGCAGATGCAGTCCGCAAGCAGATGCAGTCCGCAAGCAGATGCAATTGCATTTGCAATATGCAAGCATTTGCAATATGCACCCGAATGCACCCGAACGTGTCCGGACCCGGACGAGAGCTACGGCACCCTCGGGACCAAAGGGACCGCGCCTCGTTTGGTTGGAGCTGCTTGTCGGGCATCCACGATCCACGAGTTCTGGCAAGAGTTGAAGGTAGGTGTGCACATGAGAATCGAGATGGCGCAGCGGAAGCGTGCGGGGCTCATAACCCCGAGGTCCCAGGATCGAAACCTGGTCTCGATACGCGTTGAGCACCATGTCCCGATCTTAGCTCAGCTGGAAGAGCGAAGGACTGTAATCGAAAGATGCGATGCTGATATCCTTAGGTCGCCTGTTCGGTCCAGGCAGATCGGATCCTGGCTTGGTTGATGTGTACTCCTACCTACACTTGTTCTTCTCGTGTTTTTAGGGTGTTAGGGTGTTTAGGGTGTTTAGCTATAGGGTGTTAGGATGGATGGGTAGGTGCAGTCATGCTAGCTGGATCCAGGGTCCCCACCTGAGGCTTTTGCTAATCGTGTTGGCCTAGCTATAGGAAAAAGCTGGCAAACTCTCCGGTGCCATAAAAACAAGAGATAGAGCAGGCAAAAGGGTGTTATAGAGTTTGGGTTTTCGCATACTGATAAAGCATGGATGGACTGATAATTATAATGCAAGTAGCTGTGGGCTAATTCGCAATTCTGGAATCAGGCATCCCATCATATCCCATCCCATCCAGCAGGAATACAAGTCAGAAATTCAGCACCATGACGAGGACATATTATGAGAAGGGGGTCAGGAATGAATGAATGTCTAAGCCTGCATAATAGTTACATTAGGTGCAGGGCACTGGTCTACTGATGTCCCTTTCACACACATACGGGACATTCTCGCCCAATGTGGG